TAAACTCAATAGCTTTAAAATGACACCAAAATCAGCTCTGTAGGTGCCATACTTTTCGAGATATGGTCGGTTAAACACGCAAGGTATCGCTAATTAGCCAAAAGTTCGTTAGCAGATATCTTGCTAATTAGGAGGCCTAGAGAAAAAATTTTTCATTTCTGATCATTTTTCATGGGTCCCAACAACATACAAAAATTTGAACAAATTCCGAGAGATTGAGGTTTTTTTTTTGGTTGATTTGACATGGAATTACCCTGTATTATGATATTTATGAGATGATGACGACGAAAGCTATAGGCTATACTAAAACTGGTGATGTTGCAAATGACCATATAGTTATCAATTCTGTTAATAGTATTTTAATTGTATTTAACAGGAGCTGTAACATTATCTTTGACCCTATTATTGTCCTATATTTCTGGTGGACTTGTGACATCATCTTCAAATCTTAGTAATCTTGAGAGGACAGATCTGGCTTCAGATGTAAGTAAACCAATCTATCACTTATGGATTGATGTACCTTCCAAATAATTTGTATTTGTGCTTGATATGTTCGATACTTTTAAAATGAACATTGCGTGTGGTAGGATAGTGTTTGCAGTTACTGTGTAAGCTTGAGGCTGGTGTTTAAATTCTATGCTACTCTATTACAGCTAAGTCCAACACGAAATTCCCGTGAAATGTACATATAAACAACAATCTCCCTCAACCAAGGACTTATAACTTTTACCAGAAAGAAAGCTGGCTGGATTAAGCCATCTGACTTGAATGTGTGGTATTGTGCTGTTGAGCCAGATAAGCACAATCTGCACATGCTCAGAAAAACAAAACTTTCCTTAGCCACACCTGCCTCAACCTGGCAGGCCTTTTTCGAGTCTCAGTAGCTTTTTATTTTTTTCGCACAATTTGGTTTTTCTTCATATTTTTAATGATGATTATTCTTATTATTATTATTATTATTATTATTATTATTATTATTATTATTATTATTATTATTATCATTATTAATATTGTTATTTATAATAATAATTAATGAAGGAAATATTGTATAAAATAAAATAGTGACAAACGCTGACGTTGTATCACTTTTTATTGCATTCACAGTTAGAGAATTTATTACGTGATACAACGCTCAATAACAGTCTCATTGATGTCATGGTAATGTCGAGCAATGGAAGTGAATCTTGTGACTGTTTATCAGTTGAGTTTAGGGTGGATCTAAATGCTGGAACCATTTTGACAGATGATGAACTTGCTAGCATAGTTGCCAATGCTGTTGCTTTGAATAATAACAGGATTCCACCAGATAACGAAGTAAAACGTATGTATACATAAGACAAAACATCCTCTTGCCCATCAAGCACAGTAGGCCTAACATATGAGAATCAGAGTCAGTTAGTCAGCTTGTTTATTTTTTTCTACTATGGGTTTATTTTTAATTTAATTCTAGGTATCATTTCCACCATCACTTAACCTATTTACTAGGTTAAAATGGCAATACAGGATAATAATCTATGGTTGTTTAAAGTATCAAATAAAATATTTAAAATTTGAAATGTGTAATTTTTAAACATCAAACAAATAATTTAGGCTCTTCTATTTTTAAAAATAACTGCCAACTAAAGATTATCGATATTGGCTGCTTACCTAGAACCAACTAGAAAAATGAAATGACGCTGATTTGTCGTAACCTCCAGATCAAACATAGCAAAAGTAGGCCTACTGTGAAAGATGACCTCATTATTGACATTTGGCGATTAGAAACAGTGAGTAATGACATTAATATGTTTTATCGCTATGATTGATTTATTTAAAGCTCAGTAGTAAAACTATTTGAAATGTCTTACAGCTGACGAAGGAAGGATGACAACTGCACCTGCTACAACCGATGCAACCAGTACAGATGCAACCGGTGATACAGGTGCAACAACCAGGTCTACAGATGCAACCGGTGGTACACGTGCAACAACTAGGTCTACAGATGCGACCGGTGATACACGTGCAACAACCAGGTCTACAGATGCAACCGGTGGTACACGTGCAACAACCAGGTCTACAGATGCAACCGGTGATACACGTGCAACAACCAGGTCTACAGATGCAACCAGTGGTACAGGTTCAGCCAGTTCAACAGATGCTACTGATGATACAGGTGGCACTACAGACACACCTGTAGTTATTACTTCTGCTCCAAATTTACCTACAACTGCAACAGGTATACTTAATGAATATAATCGTCATCATTGTATGTGGGTAGACTAAAGTCTGTTTCTATAAAATCGCTGCACGTTATCTCCGACAGCTTTCGGCAACGCTGATTGTTCGGTTGAATCAAGGATTGTCCAGCTACGCAGTGTGACCTTTGCAGTTAAAACAAATACCATGACTGTACAGCAAGCTTATGGATACCAGGCTTTAGTTCTGTTCATATTATCAAATTTTCTTTGATAAAACTGTTGTATATCCATAATATAGTCATGATGTGCTATATATGGTCATGATGTGCCTATATATGGTCATGATGTGCTATATATGGTCATGATGTGCCTATATATGGTCATGATGTGATGTCATCATGACCATATTTAGGCATGTCACATGTTTTTTCATATAAAGTTTGATAGTCTGGACAGGACGTTAGCCTTACAGCAAAACAACAGATAAAATGCATTCCAAAAGCAATTGATGAATACAAATATAGAGTTTACTAAAATAACATAACTGAACTTCTTACCTAACCATTTCAAACATCATACTAATTCTTGCCTTGTACATTATCATTTTTCCAGTTTTTATAAATTCACGAAAAGGCACACTTGGTATGCAAGACTGTCCTTTATATTCCATGTTTGTGAAGCACAATAGAAAGTAGCGCCCAGAAGACTATATCCTAAAGAATTTATGGCAAATGGCATAATTGATATGTCTTTAACTATAATCTTAGAAAGCCACACGTCATTAGTCTTACCTTCTTGGTAATTAAAAGACAAATTACCCTTTATATTGTAAAAGCATTTGTCGGCCAAATATTAATAAGTTTAAGGAATACAAAAAAATGGATGGGATTAAGACACAGATGGGCAAAGTGCGGCCTGCAGTCAGCAATTTTTCTGCGGCCCGTGACAATGAATTAAAAACCCTATGTTTGCGGCCCGCCAATCAAAATTGTCCAGAAAACACCTTGTTTTTTACGGCCTGACACCAATCATATGTAAAAAGTAACATTAAAACAGAAAATAAAGTGATGTGAAATCAGTGCTTTGAGGTTTTTGGAAGCTCGCTGGAACATCAAGGTTTGGGTGGGGCCCTCGGTTTTAAATCAAAAATTTACTTTGGCCCTCCGATCGATTTTTATACCCACCCCTAGGTTAAGGTATGATTCTTTCAGATTTGTGCAGGCAGGAGTTTATAATCTACAAACATTGTATTCTTACTAAAATTGTTATTCATATTGCTTTGGTTGTAAACTCAGTGCAAACCGTGTCATTAAGATTGTGTTTATATTGATCTTTTCTACCATAGTGTCTGCCTTGTTCTATCAAGTCACGCTAACCATTGATGGTATTGATGGAATGCCAGTTGATTATTCTAATGACCTCGATGATCAAACTTCAGAGAGATTCATCATGATTGCAGGACATGTATGCTCTGCTGTAAGTGAAGTGTAACATAATAGGGAATGGTGCATAATAAGCTAAAAAAGAGATTCAATTGTTGGAAAGTAAAGGTCAAAGACAAGGTCAATTTCATGAAAATTCGATTTTCTCTGTTCGAACTTACCCTCGGCCATAAAAGAAAGTGATGTAATCACTCATCATAGGCACAGGGGAGAGTTATGCAGTTTATGTATTGACTGCTCTTAGTTGTTGTTATTATTGTTATGATTATTATCTGTATGATTATTAGGGTACGGGGAGGTACCTCCCTGCTAATCTACTCTTAAATCCTTCCTCTTCAAATAGTTTAACATCCTCCAGCGCCGGTGACAAGCCAGTTTTGTTTGCTTTAATAGGTGCTTTAAAAATGTTTATTATTATTATTATTATAATATCTTTTATCATTATCATCATTATGTTTATTTTCTTAGATCGATGTTGTCCTTGATGGTTCTTTCGGTGACTATGTTACCTGTAAAGTGTTAGCATTTTCACCAGGAAGTATTATTGCTGATGCAGAAGTCCAGTTTGTTGCAGACACAAGTGTATCTGCTCTAGATGTTGAAGAAGAATTGAAAATGGCAGCAGCAAATGATTTAGTTACTAGTGACGGCGTGTCATTGACTGTTGATCCATCAACTATTTCAGTTACAGAAATTGTAACAGGTAAGGACATTGAAGAATACAAAGAAAAGTCCTTTAAATATAAAAGTATAGAAAGTTTAAATTTTATATAGAGTGTCTTTACATTATGTGTTTACGTTTCTAAATCTTACAAAAGACTAGTAATTCCGTCAGGTAGGCTTATATCGTATCATGACAGTGGTGTTGTATATGGCACGTACAGTACCTCCGTTTCATGATTATTTAACTGGATAAACCAATACAAATTCTAATTTGAATTTGCCTTACAGAATCCCTCAAATACGTAATAAATGTTCTCATTTCCTTTTTGGTGCACATGCATTCATTTCTTTAGTAATAAATTATATTCATTTATTTATTCATTCATTAAATTGATCCTGCTCTTAGTATAGTACTCTATTTATTAAGGTGTTGTGAATGGTAAGAATTGGAGTCAATTTTTGCAAATATCTTGATAATAACTGCATGGGATATACAAACTGAATTATGTTTATATTACCAAAATTTGTTTTTCATTTATATCCTTTCAGGTGGCACTACAGACACACCTGTAGTTATTACTTCTGCTCCAAATTTACCTACAACTGCAACAGGTATACTTAATGAATATAATCGTCATCATTGTATGTAGGTAGACTAAAGTCTGTTTCTATAAAATCGCTGCATGTTATCTCCGACAGCTTTCGGCAACGCTGATTGTTCGGTTGAATCAAGGATTGTCCAGCTACGCAGTGTGACTATTGCAGTTAAAACAAATACCATGACTGTATAGCAAGCTTATGGAATCCAGGCTTTAGTTCTGTTCATATTATCAAATTTTCTTTGACAAAAACTGTTGTATATCCATAATATAGTCATGATGTGCCTATATATGGTCATGATGTGCCTATATATGGTCATGATGTGCTATATATGGTCATGATGTGCCTATATATGGTCATGGTGTGATGTCATCATGACCATATTTAGGCATGTCACATGTTTTTTCAAATAAAGTTTGATAGTCTGGACAGGACGTTAGCCTTACAGCAAAACAACAGATAAAATGCATTCCAAAAGCAATTGATGAATACAAATATAGAGTTTACTAAAATAACATAACTGAACTTCTTACCTAACCATTTCAAACATCATACTAATTCTTGCCTTGTAC